TTTTTGTTCTATAGTGGCGTGAAGGAAGTTGCACGGCATGAACAGGGGCATGGGTGCTGGGTCTTCCTCAGGTTGGTCCTTGCAGGACAAGGCATCTGCTTTGCTGTTCTTTGAACCAGGATGGTAAACAATGTGGAAGCTGAAACATGACAACAAGGCCCAGCATGGCTGTTAAGGTGGTAAGCATGTCATAGACTGGAAGTGCTCCAGGTTCTGATGATCAGTGAAGATGTGTACTGGATGTTTTGCACCTTCCAGGAGATAGCGCCACTCCACAAAGGTAGCCTTGATGGTGAGGAGTTCCTTATCCCACACATTGTAATAATCTTCAGCAGGAGTCAGCGGTTGTGAATAGTAGGCTGGCAACTTGAGGCTACCAGTTGTGGCCCGGGCCCAATTCAAGGTGCTTGTATTTACATATAAAGCCCTTAACAGCTTGGGGCTGGCTATCTAAGGGAACGTTTGCACCCAAATATACCTACCTGCCCACTTAGATCAGCTCAGGAGAACCACCCCTCAGGGAGATGAGAGGAGTGGCAACTAGGCAAAGGCCTTTTCCACTGCTGTTCTCCATCTTTGGAACTCCCTCCCTAGGGAAATTCGCCTGGCGCCATCTCTATTTTCCTTTCAGTGCCAGGTGAAGGCATACCCTTTTAGGAAATTTTTTAACACTTAGCCTGAATGCTGTGGCCATTTTATATTGTTTTTATAGATGTTTAATTCATTGTATTTTAATTGGTTTTAATGTGTTTTACTTTGTTAATATGTTTTATGCATTGTAAGCTGCCTAGAAAGGCCTTGGCAGTTATAGGTGGCCTATAGATGCATATATAAATAATAAATATATTGCTGTGGTCATGGGCTCCTTGAGGCACAGTTCCAGGCATGGTGGTGACTGAAAGTGGACAGACCTTTGCATCCAGGAAATGGTGGGATCATGCAGGGTCAGCCAGGGGATTCCAAGGATCACCTAGTAGTGGGGGGTCTGGATCAGTCCAAGAAAACCCATTCCTGGTGACCTGGGGTGACAAGCATACCTATTGGTTCCATCTCAAGTATAACAGGGCCCAAAGCCAGAAGAGAGCCATCTAAACCCTTGACCAGGACAGGTCTTTCCTTCTACTGCACTGGGGTGTGGAATTTCCTAGCAAATTCCAGGTCTGTGAAATTTGAGGAGGCTCGAGTCAAGCATAACATCTCCCCCAGGAGCCCTCCTTGGGGTGGGACCAGCTATACAGGAACACAAAGTGGGGGTGCACAGACATCAGCCCTGGTGGGTTCCCCCCAAGACTGCTGTGGAGGTTTGTTTTCTGCCGCTGGACCTTTGGCAGGGTAAGTGCTGGCATAGTGGCCCCACCTTTCAGAGCCCTGAAGGGCAGAGACCCTGATCTCGGCATTGTTGCTTCTCTGCTGTTGTGAGGTGCTGCTGTGAGCTGTCTATCTGTATAGGCTGCAGAAGAGGCACGGCATGGCAAGGAGTCATCTCAGGCTGGTGGCATTCATTCTCGAACCAGGAACTTCAGCGTTTGTGCTCCCACTTGGTTAACTGGTTGTCAGTGTTAATACAGAGCACGATGAACTCATTCAACGATGAGCTCAGGTCAGAACTGGTCAGACTACTCTAGTCAATTTGTCTTTTACTCAGACCTGAGCATGGAATGGAAGTGGAAGCGCTGTGCTGCTTTGTTTCACTCAGTGTTGGCTGCAAAGCAGCAAAATTCTGTAGCATAGTCCACTACTGACCTCTGCCCCTGCTTCAGAGATTGAAGAGCCTGCTCTGCAGTATGCTCACAGTTGGCATTTGTGTTCCCAAGTGAAGGGTAGTCTGTTTCTAGTAAGGTGAGGCCTAGACCAAGGCAGGGCCCAAGAGCAAGCTTACTAATAAGGCCACCCAGCTGCACTCTGTTGGGTACAGCTCAGGGCACATTGGAACAGGAGCTGGCACTGATTGATGAAACCTCTCAGCTCCTTACATTCCCCTGAGAAGACAGCATTCCACCCAGCCTTCTAGCTTGTCTAGGTCATTCTGGTTCTTCCTTTTGTCTTCCAGGGTGTTAGCTATTCCACCCAGTTTTGTATCCTCTGCATATTGCAAGTTGGTCATCTTCTTCTGCTTTCAATTTTCCCTTGTTTTCCCCAGTGAGTCTTGCCTTCTCAAAAATGAAAAGAATGCTCAATTAAGATTTAACATAATGTCTGTTTTGGCCTGAAGCATAATCATCAGAATATGCTTACAATCCCCCTGTAGACATTACCACTCAAGAAAGGTGGTTGGAGCACATGGGCTAGGAATAGTTTGTGCAGCCCCACTTAGGGATATGTAAGAAATCTCCTTGGGGGGTGAGAATATGGATTCCTGGGCTTGGATTTCCCAGCACCAGTTCACTTTGCTGTGGTTACGAATACAAGTTCCTGGTAAGTGTGCCCAGTGCTCATGAACTCACCAGGAACTGAGCTCAGTGCAATGCTGAGCAAGTGGCGCCCCCCTTCCATGTCAGGTGCAGCAGCCTTTCTTTGTGCTGCACATGACACTACTCATGGTACAGAAGGTTCTGTCTGCCTAACCGTCATTCTGCAAGTGTTCACAGACTTCCACTTGCCTTCTGAGACAGGGCCAGCATGGGAGGAAGTCCAAATGCACTGGAAGGATGGATTCTGCTGAGCTTTGTTGCAACCCTAGCCCCACATGTCCTTTGCAATGTGGTATCCTTTTAGCCTATGCTGCTAACTAGTTTAGAGGCAGGGAGTCTGTGTTTGTCCAAATGTTGTTGGACTCCAGTTCTCATCAGCTACTACCAGCATAATCTGACAGAATGGCAGACATAGTCCAATAATATCCGGAGAGACCTAGGTTCCCTAGCACTGAGCTACAGTTGCCCCTTTCTTACAGGTCTCACTTCTGTTCTTTTAGTAGCCAGCTTCTTGACAAAAAGAAATCGAAGAGCTGATTCTGACCCTTAGGGTTAGAAGTGGGATCCCTACTTCTAACCAGATCTCTTTTAATAAGCTAATAACTCACTGGCTTGCTCTAACTAAAGTACTGTAAGGTTATCTACACAACGCATGTACTTATGATCCTTTACTATAGGTTGTTTCTGGCCTCTCCAGTTTCATTAGCTTCTCAGGATCCTCCAGTTTTGCTTCCCCTTTAACAGAACACTTTCCTGTATGGTCTTTTTTTCTTTCTTTTACGAAATAGGGATACTATATTGGAATGGGAGAAATGGTGCTGTTTCTCCTGGTGTATCTGAACTACTCCACTACAGCACAGCTTCACCTATAGGAAGAAAGAAAAGCATGAAAGGAACAGTTTTTATATGTAGAAAGCCCCATGACTTTCATTTCTGAGTGAATGCATAGGCAGAAAAATTCCTGCAACTTCCAGTAGTTTGCAGCCAGCCATATCATTGGCCAAAGCCTTTCTTTCCAAATAAGTTGAGGGATCAATTAAGTTTTAAGCCATTGATAAATTAAATCTGCATATATTTGCATATGACTAAAGTTACCATTTTAGAGGGGGGGAAAGAGCATACTTCCTTTATTTTCAGATGGTACTTGTATGTGTAACAGCAAGTGACATCTTAGAAGATGCATTTCCCCATGGATAGTAAAAAGTGATCCCTCTTCCAAGATGGTGCCTGCCACCTGTTGTTTTTAAAAGTATATACTTGAATTTTTAAAACGTTTTGCCTGATTAAACAGGTTGTCTTTTCAGGTCATTAAAAAGGGTTTAAAATGATTCATTAAATCAATGGATCAATCAATGATTTCAGTCCTAAAATGGATTGCAGGTTCCTCTTTGGGGTACAGGATCAATTCTTTTCAGGACAAAAGATTATTGATTAGTTTTTGCTCTCAAGCCAGCAGAGGGAGCACAACTCGCTTTGTGTGTATTTTTGGTGTGTTTGTTTTTGTTGTGGGTTCCAAAACTATAGTAGCACCTTCTCTTTTGTTTCATTACAGCAACTGAATGGAGGCAAGAAAACGTCTTCAATGTTCCATGGATAGAGCACACACACTTGATGAAACTGGCTTTAGAAGCAGGAGAGAGTAATGCAGCCAGTGTGTATTGGCCTGTTGCAGTTCTTATGCATTATAAAAACCCTTCCCAAAGGAACAATAAACAGGTTGGGTACTCCAGGGCACAGGGGATTTAGCAGCAAGCATCTTGTTTCCATGTTTCCACTGTAATCTTTATAGGGAGAAACTGTGATCTGTTGCATCAGATAGCACATATCACAGATATGCTGAGCAAAATTCATGAACAATTATTCCACTTAAGATGTTTTCAGATGAAAGACTCCTAGTGCTATATTGCCCATCCATTGCAAGTGAAATTGCAATTGACCATCCACACTTCAGAGGTCTACCCCTTTTTTCTCACTTTAGATGGGTGTCCCTCATGATGCTCTGTCCACGTGGCAGACATGGCACAGGCATGTGTGTAGGCATGTTGTCCCCTCTCTTGACCCCCACACATGGCTGGTTTTCACACACACTCTTCTCATGACATTTTAAAGTGGGTGCATCTCAGAATTGTTTTAGCTTGTTTTATGGCCATTGTGGAGCAAAGAAACTTCAAATAAGACATGACTGAGTGACAATTCATTGAGAGGTTTGCTTCTAATGCAAGAAGTTTGCCCTATAAAGACAGTTTTGCTAATTCATTCTTTATCTTTTCATTAGCTTTCCTAGAGCTAGGAAGTTTCTGTTATTAGCAACAACCACTTTGTGAATGGTCACTGTTAATAACGTGATTATAAGTGCCAGAACTTTCTCTCTGACCTCATAATTCACCTAACAAGACCATGTCTGCTGTATATGTGTACCTGAAACTCTTCCAAACACTTTACACATCTGACAAAATGGATTTAAGCCCATGAAAGCTTAGGCCAAAATAAATTCATTAGCCTTTGATGTGCCACTACACTCTTTGCTGAAACAGACAAACAGAGCTTTCCTTCTGAAAATTGTATTTGTCTTGTTTTTGGGAGCTTCACAATTACAAGATGACTTTGCTTGTTTGTTTTGCTTTGGCTTTAGTTTGTTTTTAAACAGTGACTGTAGCACAGGGAAAGGGGACACAGCTAAGCTTACTTCCTGACAAACATGAAGAAGCAAGTCCCGTTGATTTTACCCAAGAGTGCCCACCTTTAGCCAGTTTCTCAACTGGATATAATCAGGTACCAAATCTAGTCAGCTTCACAGTCTTGATTTTCCATGCTTGTTAGTTGGCTCTGAAACCAGAAACATACAGTAAGCACTAAATAAAGGAAAGTAATCTCCAACATCTCACCCACCTTCTCCAGGAAAACCTCCTCCCATTCTGCCTCCATCTCACATCTGCACCTGCAAACAAATAGCATGGCCATTCTGCTTCTTCCTTCCTTAAAGGATTTTCTGTGATCAGAAATAAGTACTAGAAGAAGCAGGGGGAAATGTGGGGCACCCGTAATCTCAGTCAACTTGTGTAAATGAGGAATGGCGATAGGCATTGATGTGTTCAAGTCAAATCTCAAGTCTTTCTCTTCAAGTCCAAGTCAAGTTTCAAGTCATTTCAAAAAATGTTTGAGTCAAGTCTCAAGTGTCTTCTCAAGTTATTTCTCAAGTCTCAAGAGCCAACATTAACAGAAAAAAGGGAGGTGGTGATACTTATTTAAACAAAGCTATGTGGTTATTTGAATTTATCAAGATTGCAATTTAGAAAAATGATTTTTTCAACATGATTGGCCCCCAGCCTGGTGCTGGTATTCTCCCTGGAAATGTGTGGGAACTGAGCAGAGGCAGCAGGCAGGAGAAATGCTGTTGCACTTCCTGCCATGGAGAGCAAAGGGCACCAAATAGAGCTAAAGTCTTCCCCCTGTATAAGTAGACCCTGGGTTATGGACGAGTTTCATTCTTGAGAACATCCTTATGTCAGATTTGTATGTAAGTCGGAATACATGGGTAACCCAAATGTTTGTCATAGTATATGTATATATTTTACCTTTCTATGCATATAAAATACTTAAGAAACACTTCCATATTCACTAAAGCATCTTAAACACAATACAGTATTTTAATAAATGATATTGATACAGTAATAATATAGTATCTACAGGTACTCAAGAGAGAGAAAGAGGGAAACTATGTATGTGTATAGGTATACAGTATTGTAAAAAACAAATAAATAGTTCTTAAAACAGTTTAGACCATTCTTTCAAATCAGTGTCTTACAAAGTTAAGCTAGTTCACTGTCATTCTTGCATAGATTATAACAAGATCATGAATATGAAACATTTTGAGCATTTTAAAGTACTTTATGTTTTTCTGAATATATTTCTGAGTAGCTCTGCTAATAAACCATAAGAATAACCAAATGCCACAGTTCCAAACAAAACAAACCTAAAACAGAACAAAGAAAATATCAGAATTATCTTTCTTTTCATAGAATTAGGCAATATTTGCAGGCCTGTTTGCCACTTTAGAGGAGATCAGACCTGCCAAATTCTACTCAGACAGGTACTGGTTCTCTCTCTCCTTCCCTTTCTCTCCCCACTCTCTCTCTCTCCTGTCAATTCAGAATCTGTAATATAGGCATACTAATGCTGATCAATTCTCCTTTAGCATTTGCCCTTGTAACCAAGCCCTCAGCTGCTACAAGGCCATTTATGATGAGAAAAAGAAAATGGCTGAGCAAACAACCCTTAAGACCTACTTGAAGAAAGTTACTCCAGTGCTTACACACACACACCACTCCAGCAGCACAAGCAAGCCATGACTCTCCAGCACCAGGTCCATCTCCATCATCCTCAGTTAAGGTTAGGCTTACTGTCACCCCATGGATTAGGAAGCTATGAATAAAAGCAGCATTCCCAGCTTTAAAACAACAACAGAGTAGGGAGAAGTCACCTGGGCACCTCTGCTTATGCCCTTCCCTGTTTTGCCATGCTTCTGCTTCATCCTTGAGGCCCTACACATGCCCTGAAATATACTGGCTTGGGTATGCTCAAGCCGACACTGTGGAAGAAGAAGCTTTGAATATCTCCAAGGAATCTCTATCTCTACAAAAAGCTGTGAATAACTCTAGGGAACGATGTGGCTGTCATGATGTGCAGTCCTTTCTTCCAAGTAAACACACTGCTTCAGAGTTCCTTTTCTCAGTACTTTATTATTACACATTCCATTTGTCAGACATTTCTGAGTTCACCCAGATTAAAGTGCTGAACCCTCTCTGAGCCCTCCTCTTAATCTCCATCCCATTTAAGAGACTTGCTCTATCGCCGGCTCAGAGGTGGAGCACTGGCAATCCTGGCCTGTCTCCACCATTCTTGCAGCTCCCAATCGAATCTTCCACCTGTGCTGCCTCCCAGCAATGGGCATCGCCTCCTCAGGGGGAGGGGCCTCTACACCTGACAAGCTACTCAGCTCTTGGTGCACACCCTGGGCAGACCCTGAAGCCACCTCCCATTCTCCCATTGTCAGAGCTCTCATCATCTTCCACCTCCAGTTCTCCTTGCTGAGCTATCTCTTCATTCCCATGGGATGGTTGGTTGCCACCTCCACCCAGCTGGGGCAACGGTGCTTGAACTGCAAACATTCCCCGGCCTTGATCTGACACTGTCATTTGCTGACATTCCAAAATTGCTTCATCTTCACTGATTGAACTCCAATTCCCATCAAATCTATCAACAGACTGTGGCCCTTCTGGCCACCTTTCCCTGTGTGTGCACACAATAATGCCCACTGATTACACACTGCCAAATTCATCACATTGTTCTTTAGAGATATTCACAGCTTTTTGGCAGAGATAGTCATATAGGGTTGATGGCAGTCCATGCATTTGTAAGTACGTAACCCAGGGACTACCTGTATTGCAACCACCCTCCCACTGCCTCTGCACCCTTGTCCCTGCCCCTGCTGCCTCCCTCATGCCTAAAAGCAACTTGGTCATAAAAACAATAGAAATCTCAAGTCAAATCACTTGTTTGCTGCTCCCAAATTGAGTCCAAGTTGAGTCGCTGATGCAACTTGAGCAGGACTTGAAAGCGAGTTGCTAACTCAAGTCCCCAACACTGGTCATTGCACATTAAAAGCCTCGTCTGGAGTCCCCTTAGAGCTTTTTTCTAACCCACCACTTTACCAAGGGTTCTGCTTCTGCAGTATTTGTGGGATGAAGAGCAATTCTTTTCTACAAGTTTTCCTCTGCTCCCAAGAGTTTAATATTGTTACCTTTCTATATTCCTTTACCCAGCCACTAGGAGACACTGCAGTATAGCAGAACTGTGCAAATACACTGGTGTTTCATGCTGCCTTTCAGAAATATACCAGATTTTCTCCTTGGGAAATCAACCAACCAATCAAACACAAAAATAGTTGCTAACAATGAGAAAGGCTATGAAGGGTCATGATGCCATGGAAAGCACCTACAAGCTGAGGGATCACAAGTGCACATAAATGCCTGCAGAAAGACATTGACTCGCATTAGTCTCCTTTCAACTATGATACCATGTAAACATATCTTAAGCTGTCCCCACAAATTTCCATTTTCCTACTATTATCATGTGTCCAGAGGAATGAGCAGCTAACCAGAGGTTAACTAGAATAAAAGTCTAGCTAAAATGTTCAGTGCTTAAACAAAAGAAATAGAAATGTTTCTAACAGAAATAGAAACAAAAGGCATAGAAATGTTTAATAATAATAATAATAATAATAATAATAATAATAATAATAATAATAATAGCAAACAAACAACCCCCACCCTTTAAGTTCAGCCTTGGGGTTGGATAATACTAAGCAACCATATATTTCTTGACATGGGAGTTAGTTAACATATGCTGTAGAGTTATTCATGCATACAACCTGTTGCTTGTGACTTCATTGTCATGAATAGCCATTTATTCTTAATTCTCCTAGGGAGAGTAGCATAGGCAAGAGAGCATTGGGTTCAAATCCCTATTCAGTCATAAAGCATATTGGGTGGCCTTGGACTTGGCACTGTTTCTCAGTTTAACACAGTTGTTGTGAGGAGAAAATGGGATTTGTGCTACTGAACTCTTTGGTGAAATAATGATGTGCTAGTGGAACAAGTAAACTTCCAACCATGCATTTCTTTCCGATGCATCTCCATCCCCAGTGATACACCCCACTGAGCTGGAAAAAATCATAACCATTTCAAATGTGATAACAAACAAAGTTGTTTTCCTCTCTCTGGGATGCTTCGCTTTAAAAGGGGAAGTCCACTTTTGATGCATAAAATCCAAGTTGACTGATTTGTTCAACTTTTTAATTTTTTATTGTTTTCTTAAACTGAATAAGATTCAAAAAGAAGAGTACAAGGAAAAAAGTGAAATAAAATTGCCAAGGGATTTTAAACAAGGAGAACAATACATTCATAACCTGCATATTTTCAAAGACATCATAAATTTTTATCTTTCTGTCAATCCATAGTCTATTGAAGCTCAAAAAAGAATGACTGTAATTCACTATACTGGCAAAATTTCCAATTGCTTCAAACCAATTATAAATCATTGACAATGTTTTAATGAGCTTCCTTTTATAACATATTAATTGTACTGGATATAATAGAATTTCCATTTTCATTAATTTCTTCAAGTGGTCTTCTGTTTACATAATTAGTTAATTTTGCCATTACTACATACTCCACCAACTTATTTTTTCAATCTTCAATTGTCAGGCATTCTGTTTTCCATTTAGAAGTAATTGTAATTCTTGCTGCAGTTATCATGTGTTTTAATAAGTCTGACATGTTCTCTGAAAAAGTCTCTGGATATTCAAAAGCATATTCTTAGGACTCATAGAAACCTTAATTTTACAACTTTTTTTATATTTCTGCACGTATCTTTTAATTATTTTACAAGTCCACCAATATTGTAGAAAGCCCCATCTAACTTTACTACATTTCCAACATTTTTCATTATAGTTCTTTTCTATTTTTTCTGTATGTTTTGGGTAATTACTACCCAAAAAACATCTTATACCAATTTTCTCCTCATGCTTGACTAACTGTGAATTTAATGTCTTTTTTCCATAAAGCTTCCCATTGACAGGGTGATATTTCTTTTCCAAGCTTTTGCATCCAAATTGTCATATATTTATCTTGCTGATATACAGTGTCATGTTGAAGTAACTGCTTATAAATTCTTCCTAATAGATTATCATTTTGTTGTGTAATCAGATTTTCAAAATTCATCAGGTTTCTTAAGGTACCTTTCCCTGATAGTATTTCCCCTCTCAA